TCAACGCCCCCCCCCCCCGACCGAAAAACGAAGAAGGAAATGTGCGCAGGTGAGACTGCGGGAAGAGAAAGACCTGATCATCCAAGATGCCGGGATCCTGGTTTTACTCTGAGGGATTTCATGTGGGGGGTCCTGGTTTTGTTTACGGGTTTAGACCTTTGAGGGTTTAGGTTTCTGGATGGGGTTAGGGCTTAGGGTCTTGAGGGTTTCGGGTATTGGGACACTTTGTTTGGCGAGTCGCTCTGCGTTGGTCAGGGTTTTGTTCAACGGTCATTGTCTTTACTTTCCATAGTTCGGAGTTCCGTTGCACTTTCCTTGAAAGTAAGCCTGCACCCCGACCGACGTATACTGCCTTCTCGATGTTCGCAAAAGACCTCGCAGCAACTGAAGCCTTGAGACTGACCCTAAACCCTAAACCCNNTAAACCCTAAACCCTAAAACCAGGAAAAGGCGGATGTAGAACCTGGCACTAGGACCAGAAGCCGCACTCAGCTGAAGCCGGTTAAGTTACAAAACGGCGCCATCGGTAGAAGTCCTTCCGAGCTCCTGATTTGCGGCTTCGGGGATTTAGGGTTTATAGGGGATTTAGGGGATTTAGGGTTTCGGGTTTAGGGGGTTTAGGATTTAGGGTTTATGGTTTTCGGTTTCCTTGGTTCCTTCCCCGCGTGAACTGGTTGGCATGCCCGCGAACCGTCAACCCCGAAAACTGAGGTAGCATTAGGGAGACCTTAAAGCGGACCCTTGGTCACCCTACCTTTGGTGGCTCTATGAAAAGAGACCTTATTGAGAGGGTCTATATGCCCAATGGTTCCCCTAATCCTAACTCCTACCGAAGCCTTAAGCTTACGCACTCTTGGCGGTTTAGGGCACGCGGTCCAGAGTTTCTTGCAGCTTAGGGGCCGCCTGAGGCCTCTAAACCCTAAACCCTGAACCCCTAAACCCCAAACCCCTAAACCCCTAAACCCCTACGCCCTAAACACCTCCAGGTCTGGAAAAGCAAGGCGCAGGTTCGTGTCGCCCAAGAGGACCGGCGTGTCGACGTCTGCTTTGGTAGCCCAGAAAGCTCAATAAAAGGGCTTAAACCCAAAACCCCAAACCTTAAAATAAATACCAATTCAATACTGTGCCCCAGAACCCTAGTATAATTATTAAGGCCCCCCATAAAATGCGGGAGGATACGGCGCCTTGAAGGGTTCCTCTAAGAATGCGTATACGGGATTTTGGGGTTCAGAGTTTGTGAAGAAGGGTTTATGCTAGGGATCTTGGTGGGGTGCATGGGGCTCCTTGAATGCTGGCTTATGGTCCCTAAAAGATAATTATGTGAGTGTGTTGTGCAACAGATACTCCAAATCAGATGCCGATTATTAGGGAGGATTTAGGGCTACCCATAGACCCTAAAGTAGTTCCTTTTTTGTGGTGTGTATTTAGGATCCTATTCGGCAATCCCAAGAAGGAACTACTATGGGGCCTATGGGTAGTGGTTAGGGACCTAGTCTTTGACGTTGATTATTTTACCCTTTCCGCGAGCCTATTTGCCGGCCGGAGCTCCTCCCAAAGCCCAGAAACTCCGGGACTCGGGCTTCTTAAAACCGTCGGCCCGAAAACCCTGACTCCCTAGCCCTAAACCCTAAAGCCCAAGTCCTCAGCCCTAACCCTAAAGCCGTTTATGTCCGTATTGGATCTCTTCGGTCTGAAACTAAGGTCTTGTCCTGAGCCTGTCAGCCCCCGAACTCGATATAAAATCTTCTCCGGAAACCACCAGAAAACCCGAGCGAAGAAGCATACCGTAACCCCGGAGGCTTCAAGTAAGTACCATTGATGTGCTATCCCTATAGCCTGTCACGTCTTCCATGCTTTAGCAGCCCCCCCACACTTGCGGAGGAGAAGGAACGCGAGTACATTCGCCTGGAGGTCGGAGCATGTTGTTATACGACTTAGGGTTTAGGGTTTAGAGTTTAGGGTTTAGGGTTTGGGGCTTTTTCAATCGTTCTACGGTGTCTTTCTGCGTTCAGAGGAGCCACCGACGCCCAAGGATCAAAGGTCCGCTAAAAAATCCGGTGCTTGCAGCCTTGTTCTCAACGCGCAGGTGGCTCCATAGGGAAACGCTCATGCACAAAAACTCCCAACTTCCACCACTGTATAGAAGGCCAGGAGATCCTAAACCCCAATTCAACGAAACGACTTGATCCCTTGACCTGTACCAAACCGTCATGGTTTCACCCTTCGCCGACTGGGCATGGCTAAGACCTGGAAAGATCACATGCGGAACACTTAGAGTACAAGCCATAACCCCAAGCCAAGAACTTGAAGAGTGGCCAAATGCGTCTGACGCGGCCAGGCCTCCCTGATCTCCAGCGAAGCCACCCTAAACCCTAAACCCTGAACCCCAGCACAACGAGCCCAAACCCCCCCGAAGACACTTGAAAACAGACAGCGACGCCCCGAATAAACCCGACCTCGAGAAGGAAACCGATAAGAAAATTAGGCCACTCTTTCAGATGTGGGAGTTCGAAAGCAAGGGGTACCTTATTTTGGGGTCCTTATAATAAGCATCCATTTAGGGTACTGTAATAGGGCCCCCTATTCTCGGAAACCCCCATGTGCTTAGGATCAGGAAGCCTGGTATCTGGATCAGGGCCCCTTTGCTTCCGAAACCCCCGAATCGCCCCTGGACCCTAAACCCTCATTCCCTAAACCTTTAAACCCCTAAAGCCTTAGACCCCTAAACCGCAAAACTCCTGAACCCTCAACCCCGAAACCCTGAACCCCTAAACCCCTAAACCCCTGAACCCTAAACCAAGGAGATCCGGGAGAAGGTGAACGTCGAGCGCGAACGCCGGCGTGCCCTCGACGAGCTCAAGCAGATCAGTGCCATCCGTGACCCGGAGTGGTTTCTGGCAGATCTTCAGGCCTTGACCCTTAAGGTTTAGGGTTTAGGGTTTAGGGATAGGGCACTAAGCCTTAAACCCCAAACTCTGGACGCAAAACCCACGTTGAGTGAGCACGACTACCGAAGATCTTGAACCCGACTTTTTTTCGGTGACTTGGGGAAGAGTAGTGTGGAGTTCAGAGTTTGGTGTTGCGGTGTGGGGTACCAAAGTAGGATTTCGAGATCGGAGAAGCCTCCACATCGACCAGCTGGGTTCTGGTTGTGGGGTTTAGGGTTTAGGGTTGTGGGAACTACGTTCAAGCTGGCACAAAGCAGAGTTTGCAATACAGACGCCGAAGTATTTGCCAATAGCAGTCTTGGGGTTTCTCGTTATAAGATCTTAGAAGTATACTATAGTATAATTACCCCAAAACCCTATTATACTTTCATTCATCATCTTTCTCCTCCGATGGTGGTAAACCTGTTTGAGTTCCTTACCAGAAACAAATCGGAGGATCCTCGAACAACAAGCACCACGCCCGGCCGCCTAACAGTGTGGAACTCTTTGTCGCGGTCAGAGTCTTTAGGTTTAATTCTTTTGCATGTATATTTTTTTTACGGGGGGTAAGAGTATAGAGTTGTGGGGGTTGAGGCTGTGTTCGGGCATCGGCATTGAGGGTTGTAGGGTTGTAGGTACAGGTATACCTTACGGCCCTAAACCTGGAAACCTCAACTGAACCCTAACAGTCAAGCCCCTTACCTTAGGCCCAAGCTCTGGAAGACCTGAAGCCCAGGTAAGCACGCCGAGGAGGAGAAGGAAGTTACTGTGAAGAGGCGAGAGAAAATGCGGAAGGACTGGGCCTTTTCTTGGGGAGGGTTCCGGAGTAAACTAAACCCTAAACCCTAAACCCTAAACCCTAAACCCTAAACCCTAAACCCTAAACCCTAAACCCTAAACCCTAAACCCGAATCCCCATACCTTCTGAATCAGTTCCGACCCTACACCCTTTCGACCTCTGAGCCGTCAGCCCTGCATCCCGTACCCGCAGTCACTATACTGGCTCCGGCACCAACACTACAACTCTAAACCCGATACCCTAAACCCGAAACCCGGCAGCCGGAAACCTCACACCCGGCACCCTAAAGCCTACACCCTAAACCCTGAAGCCCAAACCACAAACTCTAAACCCTGAGCCCTAAACCCTGAACCCTAAACCCTAAACCCTAAACTCTAAACCCTGAACCCTAAACCCTAAACCCTAAACCCTAAACCCTACACCCGGCACCCTGAAGCCTGAATTGTGTTCACACCCGGCAGCCGACAGCTCTCCAGGAGTACCTGCTGCAACTCAAGGTCGAAGCAAGCAACAGGCCCCGTTTTCTTTCTTGCTTCTTTTTTTTTACGCTTGAGGTTAATTGAAGCCTCTTTGTTTAGTTTTGGTATAAATGAAGCTGTTGTACATGAAAGTCTGGCTTTGCAAGTGTTGTCTAAGGTCAGTGATACAATCCGAAGGAGTTTTAGGGGCTGTTTTCGGTATGCAAGGGGCTTTACGCTTTCCGGTGTAGGTTTTAGGGTTTAGGGTTTGGGGTTTAGGGTTTAGGGTTTAGGGCTCCCTGGCCCAAACCACGCAGCGCTACAGCTCAAACCTGGGGCTTGCGACGCCGATGATGCTTGCTGGGCTGGAGTTTAGCCTGAGGGAGAGGCGTTGTAGCCGAATCGAATTTCCAATGATGCTGATGATGCTGGCGCTCGCTTGCCGCTCAGCAGCCGGAACCAGTGGCGAGTGATGCTGATGATGCGGCGCTTGTTTACCAGAAACGACAGGCAGTAATGCCCATGATGCTCGAGCTTGTTTTGTGGTGCACCCGAAACGAACACCAGTGATGCTGATGATGCTGGCGCTCGTCTCCCGGCAGCTTTAGCATTGCTCGATCGCAGATATGCTGTGCTGCTGGGCCCCTACCCGAAACGAGAGGGCAGTGATGTCGCTGATGCTGGCGCTGTTTGCTTAGTGCCCGAAACGAGAGGCTGCTGATGCTGATGATGCTCGGCCTATCGTCCAGGGTCCAGGGTTTCTGGCTGCAGCATTTCTTCGGGCTTATCATCCAGATCCGAATTTCAAGGCCTCTAAAGAACGAGGGCGCCTACGTGAACCTTCGGCCTTAACTCCAAGACCCTCTACTCGTACAGAGCCTTAAAGGGCGGAATCCGACTGTCCTTGGACTTTGATCCTTACAACCTACACCCTACAATATGCTTAAGCCCTCAACCCCAAGCTCTTTAGTACAACATCCTAAAGCCCAATCCGATACTTATTCGGATCCTCAATTTTCAACCTCGTTCGAACCCCAATTCAGCCCTCATCTACACAGCCCTTCTTATTGTAGGAGCTTTCAAGACACCCGTTCAGGAAATGTAGCCTTACTTGACTTAACAAAGCCAAACTGAACCAAACGTATCCTAGCCCAACCGAACATAACCCAACCTAACTAGGCTTATCTAAACCTAGCCTAACCTAACCTTGCCTCACCAAACTATCCCTTTTTGCGACCCCTGGACAGGGCCCAGGCAGTTCGGGAGCAAGCGAGAAGGAGTCTCGACGAATGCGGTCCCGTAAAGTGAGCTTTCCTTCCGATCGAGAGGATTAATTAGGACTTCGCGTTTAAGCCTCGGGCCCTGAAAGGATTTGCGGCGTATTTCAGGTGTTTAACAACGGTTTCGCGAGTCATGGGGTCCAGGAAAGTTGCTGTCGGGTGAAGGCTTTCGTCCGTTTATGAGCCCTAGACCTTACAGGCACCGAGCCCATGTTGATACACTGGCTGGGTTTGGATTTAGGGGGACAGGGAGTAGGTACTAGTATACGTGCCTTGATCATTGGAATAGGGCTTGGGGTATACTATGTTGTAGCTTTAGATGTGTTTGTTGGGAACCACTGCTTCGGGACGTCGGGGTCTGAGGTGTTTAGGACGGGGGGTTGAGGAACTTAGTGGCGATTTACCCCCGAGCCCTACACCCCAAACCCTAGACCTTCAAGAGGCACAGACATCGAACTTGTGTTTTAGGGGTTTAGGGATTTAGGGTTTAGGGTTTAGGGGTTTAGGGTTTAGGGTTTAGGGTTGAGGGGTGTATATGCTTCCGTTCAAAAGGCTGCCAGTTTCGAGGGCACAGCGCGTGTAGTCCTCGGGTTCGCCGCGAGGGGCCCCTTACTTATACGTAGTACCTTTAAAGGAACACACTAAACCTAAACCCCAAACCCTATACCTAAACCCCAAGCGCTTAACCCTAAACTCTGAGCCCCTACGCCTTGCCAGACCCTTGCAAGCCAAGGAACGAGCGCCGTGATCAGAAGATCCAGGACGAGTTTTCTTCGGCTGCCTGTTTCAGGGTTATGGGGGCTTGTGGTTTGGGTCCCTTTCGGGACTTCTATAGGGATTATCTATATAAGTGTTCTATAAGGGATCTGTGGGGCTGTGGGGGTTCTAGGGCATTTGTAGGATTTTAGGGCTTTACTGTTTAGGGAATTGGGGTTTTAGGGTTTCCGGGTTATGGGGTGTGGGGTATTTGCATCTACGAAGGTTACTCGAGCAAGGGTTCCATACGCGATCTTTAGGGTATAGGACTCAGAGTTTGGGGTTTCAGGGTTTTAGCGCTTTGTGAGTTGGGTGCTCGCGGGGTTTTGAGTGCTTTAGGTATAAGGGCCACTATACTAAACGTTCTATAATAGGGATCCATAGGGTTTAAGGCTTTAGGGTGTAGGGTTTGGGTGTTTTAGGCTAATACAGCTTTAGGGTTTTGGGATTTAGGGCTTAGGGCATTAGGACTTTACGGTGTTAGGGCTTTGAGATACTGGCTGTAAGGGCTTCGGACTAGGACTGGGCTCTGTAGGCTGCTCCCGATCTGCGCCAGGGCTTCGATATGAGGATCCTTCTTACAGAGCTTTTCTGAGGGTTGTAGGGTTTAGGTTTGGGGAGGTTTTGCCTTGTGGGTCCATGGCCAAAGGGATCCTTTGCATGGTTCCGATTTAGGGTTGCTGTAAGGCTTTTGGGGTTTTCCATGCAGAAGCCTAAAATAGTTGCCAACATGATTCCGTAGGGCTACTTATTATAAATAGTGTTAAGGGGCCCAAGCTGGGTTCTTGTTAAGGGGTTTATGTTGAGCTACCATAATAATGGAACCCGTGTATTTACCATAGATCCCTATGATATATGTATGTATATATATATATATATGGTAGCTTAAGATAAACTCCTTAACAAGAGCCCTAAACCTAAAACCTCTGTTCTAAACCCTAAGCCCTAAACCCTAAAATTGTGTTGGGCACTCTCTCCACTGTAGCAGACTGAGCCTCGCCTGGTTAACAAAGCCCACACTCACCCAAGATGCACTTTGTCTCATGCAATAAAACTTGGAAAATGGGTTAGCCTTGTAACAATTACCGATACTAGTTTACGGGTTCCGATTATACCTGTAATATAATAGGCCCCAAAAGCCTGTTCGAACCATCAAGGCTTCTACAGTACTCTACAGGTCCACCAGCGGATAGGGGTTATTACGAGAGTGCCGTATTATGTGGGGGACCCCAAAACGGACCCTAATTAAGAGAACCATCCCAAACCCCTAAGCCCTAAACCCTAAACCCCAAACCCTAAACCCTCAACTCAAACCCCTAAACCCTAAACCCCTAAACCTCTAAACGCTAAACCCTAAACCCCTAAACCCCTAAACCCTAAACCGCCAACCTCAAACCCTGAACCCCTAAACACCTAAACCCTAAACCCCTAAACCCTAAACCCTAAACCCCTAAAC